GGGACCTACCTCGTCGGGTGGTTTTGAGGGTTAAATGAGACCGTATGTGTCAAGTGTTTCAGACAGGAGATGAACACGGAGAGCACAGGGATCTCCCGTAGACGTTGAAAAGGGCCCATCGTGCAGGTAGGTTCCTGGCCATTCCCCTCTCTAGCCTGCTCAGCCAGCTCCCATAAGTGGCAGGACGGATTTGAAGACCAGTGGTCCCGAAGGCAGCTGGACCTGAGTTTGAATTTTGATTTCACGGTGCAATACCATTTGAATTGGACTTGTCCCTTCACCTCTCGGTGCCTCAGTACCCCCATTTATAATACGGCAATAGGAGCCCCACGTGGGACAGCACTTAGATAAGGAAGGTTGAGGTGCAAACCCACCTGCGGCCCCATCGGAGAACAGGCCGGTGGTGTGGGCCTGTAAAGGTGAATTCAAAGTCCCTGCCATCCAGGAGAGCCTTACTCACAGCGACCCTATAGGATAGGGTAGAACTGCTCCTGTCAATATTCAACCTAGAAACCCCCATGGAGTAGCCCTACTTGGACATACGGTGCCCCTATGAGACATGCACATTCCAGGAAATAGCACCTTTCAGCAGCAACCCAATGGGGATACTGACGGCACCCGCATCACTGGTGACCCGCTTGGAACAGCTTCGCTTTGGTTTTGATTGTTAATCTGGTGTCTCAAGGGGCTGAGTTCGACACAGGTGAGAATACACAGGAGACAGGTATAAATTGCTGGTGATCTCTATTCTACCACACAACTGTTAGTCAACACAGCAAGCAGCAATAGAGTAAGAAGAGGGGCGCACCCACAGCAACAGTGGGGAGCTGAGAGCATAAGGGCTGCGGGAGGTGCTGGTTGCTCTAGGTTATGTATCATTCTAGGTGGGCGATTTTTAGTTCATGTGTTTTCCAGATAAGTCTGCCCCTGTGGTGGTGTGGTATCGTAGTTCTACTTCTTGTGACGCGACTTGAACGCTGAGCAGTACAAAGCCTATATTATAAATGTATATGCGCTCGACATCTGGGCAGTAGACAGCATAAGCACCTCCGATACGGGAAAGAAGCAGCCTTTACTAACACTGTTGAGATAAACTCCTTGCTTTTTGGGGAAATGCTTTACACCATTAATTTTTTGTTCACGTGCTTCTATCATAAATAACACTTCCCAAGGTTGGCCACTAGATGGCACACGTGATCTTTCCTGGTCCTTCATAGGTCATGCTTAAATAATCCAAACGCCAGGACCATGGAGTAAATTATGATTCATACTGACCCTGTAGGACAGAGTAGAGTGGCTTCATAGGGTTTCTGAAGGTGTAAATCTTTATGGAAGTAGACTGCCTCTTCTTCCTCCTGAGCGGAATCTGGTAGTTTGAACCGCCGACCTTTCAGTTAGCATTAAGTAGGATATATGGAGAGCACTGTGGTACACACTGGATGGTGCCCTTTGCCAATCATCTCGTTTTCTCCTCACAGCAGTCCTCAGACTAATGGAGATCTGCTTCCATCCATATTTCAGTCTCAGACACCCTCACCCTGTGGAGCAGTCTGACTCTGTCCTATAGAGTCACCATGAGATCCCACCAACTGAAAAGTGATGGCCTTACACCATGATGGGTGGGAAAGAGAATCCGTTTGAGGGAATTCGGAGAAAATGTCCAGAGAAACACACTGTGCGGGATAAGTTCCCAAGACAAATGGATTGTACATTTTGAGTGATTGTAATTTGGGGGTTCTCTGGGATCCTCCTTGCACCCCTGACTCAATTGGTGCCAGTTCCTTGCTTCTGATCTTGGAGAGGCCTTTGGCCCTGTTCTGCCAACCTGCCCCTCAGGACCCTGCCTTCTCTGTGTTACAGTGCCCTGGTTCCCAAGAACCATACAAGAACTCGACAGATTTGCCAATCAGATTCTCAGCTACGGAGCCGAGCTGGATGCAGACCACCCGGTGAGTGGCCCCTTTGGACAATGCTCTGTTCCCTTCCCTGTCACCCCTCCTCCTCCCCTCTTCACACACTTGTTCAACAAACACTTAGCTGCTGCCTACTTTTGCCAGCCCTGGGGAAGCAAAGATTAATGTAAGGCATTATCATGATCATGTACATTGTTATTTATTGCAGCAAGTACAAAGCAAAGTCTTGCAATTATACAGAATATAGACAGGTAGCTACATAGCTATATGATAGGTAAACTGGTATTTAGATAGATAGATAGATAGATAGATAGATAGATAGATAATAGGTAGGTAGGTAGATGGGTAGATAGATTATGGCTATATAGATAGCTGATAGGTAGATAGATGATTGGTAAGTATGTAGGAAAGTAAATAGATGATACATTGGTAGGTAGGTAAGTAGATAGATAGATAGGCAGCTAGATTATGGATAGTTAGAAAGATAGATAGTTGATAGGTAGATAGATGATAGGTAAGTAGGTAAGTAGATCGTTTATAGATGGGTAGGTAGATGATAGGTAATAAGGTAGGTAAGTAGATAGATCGATGATGGGTTGGTAGGTAGGTGGATAGATAGATAGGTAGAGAGAGAGAGACGATGGGTAAGAACGTAGATAAGTAGATAGATGATGGGTAAGTAGGTATATGGGTTGAT